CCTCGGACACGTCAGCACGGCCGTCCCGGGCGCGGGCCCCGCTCACGTGGGCGGTTGCCGGGTCCCGCGGCCTCGCCGGTCCTCGGACCGCGCTCCCCACCCGCACTGATGACCCCCGGTTGAGCGAACGCGCCTCCTCTCCGTGAAGCGGGGATGACGGCAGCCTGGCCGGGTGCCCAGAGGGGTACCGGCGCGCACCGAGTAGCGGACGAATAAATGCACCGAAATGAACTTCATTACTGTAGTCCAGTGTCTGACCAGCGGTAGGTTCTTTCTGTACATCATCCGGAACATCGGAAATGTAACAGGTTTCAGGTGTTCGTGCTTGCAATCACTTGAAACCCGATTTAATACAACACCTTTGTCAAGGTTGCTAATGAGCGCTTTTTAAATGTTAAAACTCTTGTTTAAGTTGCTTTTAAGACTCCTGCAAGTAATATAAGCTCTCTCTTGTTGTACAGAACGGCAAAGTCCGGTTCTCTCCTTCCCCCTACCGCTTCTCATTCATTCTCTCTCACACCTCAGCAATAAATGAATTTGGCTCGTATGCTTCCAGGCATCTCAGGAACTCTCAAGGAAAGGAAACGTTGGCTTTGAGTAGAGGGAATATACGTACACAGAGGTTTGCTTTTATTGCTGTGTTCATTGCACAATGTTCATTAAGTGATTACCCAATTATTTTTGAGAGGAGAATAGTTATTACAGTGCCACATTTCTTCTAAGCACAACTTATTCTCAGATTGTGGAGCTATAAAACTGGGTTTATAGAGATTATGTTTCTGAAGTGACTCCTGTTTGCTTTCATGCCTTGTCCATGCTGAAACAGTTTTACTCAGAGATTTGTGGAAAGATGGATCAAAACTTCATTTAAATTTGCGTTGCCACCTTTGAATGTTTTGAATGTTAAATCTCATTCTTTGGTAGAAGCCAGTTGTGATTTAATGAGGTTGTCACAGTATAACTAGACTGAAGCAGAAGCTAGCTGTCCTACTATCATACTGGAGAATGCTTACAACTATACTTATTTTATCTTTTTCTTAATTTTATTTTTCCCCAAGTTTATTTTATATTTTATTTTATTTATTTATTTATTTTTGGCGGCTGGTGGGTATGTGTATCCAACCTCTTGACCTTGGTGTTACCAGCACTGCACTCTAACCAAGCTAGCTAACCGGCCAGCCTTTTTCCTAACTTTATCGAGGTATAATTGGTCTAGAAAAAACTGCATATACTTAAGGTATAAAGTTTGGTGAGTTTGGACATGTTACTCTTACCACAATCCAGGTAATAAACATATCCATCACTTCCAAAAGTTTCCTTGCATCCCTTAGTTTTGTGTGTGTGTTTGGTAAGTTACTACTTTCTTTTTTTTTTTTTTCCTTTTTTCTTTTTTTGTCTTTTTTACTGACCGGTAATGGGATCGCAACCCTCGGGTGTTGCGCCTGCACCGCGCTCAGCCAGTGAGGGGGAACCGGTCTCCACATGGGATCCGAACCCTCGGCGGGAGCACCGCCGCGCTCTCTCCAGTGCGCCACCGGGCCGGCCCAAGTTACTACTTTCTTAATGAGAAAGTAGTGTCAGTTATTGCAGTAGATGTTTTAAGTACATCCCCTTTTAACCCTTATTGCAACCCTTTGAGGTGTAGGTGTTCTTCTCATGGCAGGTGAGGAGTCTGTAGTCTGGGAGGTTAAGTTATTTAATTCCGCACATGAGGTCTTACAATGAAGAGTAAGTCAGGGCTCCAATTTAGGTTAGTTCCACACTTTGTGTGTATTCTTAACATGTTGCTTCTTCTGGCCTTGATGGCTGTGAGTTAAGGTTGTGTTGGGGTTGAAGACCTACAGTCGCATCAGCAGATTAACTCAAGATCATTTGTCAAATTCTGTAAGAGAGAGACTAGTTAAATGGATGTATGTGCTCCTTTGTACCCCTTTTCCAGTGGGAAACAACTGGTTGATAAACTTAACAGAGAACATGTGTATTTTCCAACAGTTGCCTTGCAAACTTTGGTAAGGTTTCTGAAAATTTTTTCGGTGTATTATCTTCAACCCTTGTAGAGTTTTAGGAGTTGGTAGAAGGGACAGTGTTGATTATTAACTAGAAGCCAATGGTTCTTTCTCATTTTATCACCAAGGATCCATCTTATTATTTTTCCTCTCATTTGGATCTTGTGTTTGAAATATTTTGTTTCTGTAATCTTTTATTAAGTAACTAATTATTTTTCATTAAGACAAATCCACCTTTATAACTGAACAAGGAGAGTTCCTGCTAGAATGTTCCCATTGTGATAAATTCTAGTCAAAGAAATAAAATGTGTTATTTGTATTAGTCTGGACAGCTTTACTTAGGATGATTATGTGATTATTTTTAGGCTTTTTGAGATATTAAAAATATAAAAATTCCTCATTATAGCTTGTGTACCCTACAGGGGATCACTGTGTCAATCCTAAAAGTTAGCCTTAATTTTTTTTTTTTTTTTTGGTTGGGGATTGGGTTGGCAAAGGGTGTGTGTATACATTTTTTCCTTATAGTCTGCTCCACAGAGTTATGATTAGAGATGCCTATTGTTTCTCAGAAAGCCCCTGAAGCCTCCTGAAGTTAACATCCTCTTCCTGTTGCAGTGAAGGATACGAGTAAGAGTGTACCCAGCAGTGGCCATTGGCTCCTTCTCCCCAGGGGCTTTTGACACTGTTACTTCTTTTGTAGGAGTAAAAACAGTTTTGGTCATGCATGAGATTTTTCTGTTAAATCATCAAATACTATGTATTTTCTATGCATGTGCATATTTGGATGTAATTGAGGAAGAAAATGTTCAGAGAGAAGCCTTTGAGGCCTTTGAGAAGTGTATTTGGAAATGTAATCTGTGTGTGTGTGTGTGTGTGTGTGTGTGTGTGTGTGTGTATTTGATTATTCAGTCAAGTGGTAAGTATTTATAGAGCTTGTACTGCTCATTCTGTGCAAAAGTAAGCCTTTGACAATGTTGTTGTGTTTCAGATGAAAAAAAATTGTTACTGAAACCAAGATTCAATTTTTTAAAAATTCTTGTAATTTGGATACTTCAATGTGGTTGTTCTGAGGCAGGCGGTTTGTTAATTGTTGACTGAAAATTTAGAAACCAAAAGACATAAAAAAGAAAATCTGCCTTTTTCTGTTATAGGTGACTGGAGAAGATGAGGAAGAGAACAATCTGGAAGTACGAGAAACCAAAATTAAGGGTAAAAGGTAAGTAAGCTAACAAACAGAATATATCTTGTCTCTTCCTGTTAAAGGTTATCATGTCAGGGTTGGAAATATAAGCTAGGAGAATTGCTTAGGATGTGCCTGGTATATTAGAGGCTGTCTCAGTTAATACGGTATGTGCTAGCATGCAACAAGCTCTACCGTATCTGGGCCCCTTTTTGTCTTCTGTGATTACTAATGGTGAAATTGGATTCCTCTAAGTAGTTGCAGTTTGATTTACATCAAGAAAGTAGTAACTTTCCATACCATATCAAGTCTCTCTTATCTAGGTGAGGATAAGGATCCCTAATCAATAGACGGAGAACTCCCGTTTCTTCGGAGTCTCATGTGAGAACCCCAAGCTGCAAGTATCCAATCTATGGTTGGCCACTGTTCTGTGTCCGAGGGGCAGACAACTCTCCCACTGCAGACAGTTCTCCCCGCTCCTCTTAAGCCTTCAGGGCCTTGAAAGCGATGTTTCAATGGAGGGAGATGGGAACTCTATGAAGGCTGGGAGTTGACTTGCCTAATTCTCTGCTCTAACTTCAGCACCTAGGACTTATTAGTGCCTAGTACTTATTAGTTATTTATTTTCAAACACTTCATTGAGAATATTTTTCAAATATATATTAAAAAGCAGGAAGAATTGTGTAGAGATATCCTGTCACCCAGCTACAACAGTCATCATTGTTTTACATGGTATGTATAAGGCACTGAAATATTTGTCAAATGGATGATGAGGGGAGAAGAGATGTTTTTAGTTCAGTGGTTCTTATTGGATTATGGAACAGTTTTGTCCCCCAGGGAAGATGTGGCAACCTCTGGAGGCATTTTTGGTTGTTACAACTAGAGGGGAGGGTGCTACTGCCATCTACTAGGTAGAGGCCAGAGGTGCTGCTAATGCATCCTACGATGCCCACGACAGGTTCCCCTTCCCGGCAAAGAATTACCCACCCCAAAATGTCAATAGTGCTAAAGTTAGGAAACCCCGCTTTAGTTTATACTGCAGTTTATCATAGGAAGAAATAAAAAATTTGCTTCTTGACCAGCAAACCTTTGTGCCTTAGAACTGTCAGTCCCAGTGTGATTCAGAAAATGTTAAGTTGGGTCTCCCTTGTCAGAGTTTTAAAAGCTTTCTTCTCATTAGTTTTGAATTTTTGTAAAAAAAAAAAAAAAGAATATGATATAATAACTTTGTATCATTTTCTTTATCACATGTCCATAGATACTTGTCAGAGTTTTAAAAGCTTTCTTCTCATTAGTTTTGAATTTTTGTAAAAAAAAAAGAATATGATATAATAACTTTGTATCATTTTCTTTATCACATGTCCATAGATACATAATTTTATATAAGGGTATAAATGGAATTATATATAAATATGGGTATTTGCCTATATAAAGCTTAACAGGAACATTAAGCAAAAAAGTCATTTATCCTATAACCCTAACATGACATGTTTTTGTTATGGACCATGTCCACTTAACAGATATATTTTACATAGTTTCAATTACTGTGTGATCCCACTTTTTAATCTTTTTTCCCCAACATGTAGCATAACTATTTCTTGTTTTCTATGCAATTTTTATAGTTGTCTTTCTTTTGTTATGTTTAATCCTCCTTGAGTTGCTCTGATGTCAGGTACGAAAACATTATCCTCTGCGGAGCCTTTTTTATTTTTTAATCAGTTAATTAATTAATTATTTTAAAAGATGACTGGTAAGGGGATCTTAACCCTTGACTTGGTGTTGTCAGCACCACGCTCAGCCAGTGAGTGAACCAGCCATCCCTAGATAGGATCCAAACCCATGGCCTTGGTATTATCAGCACTGCACTCTCCCAAGTGAGCCACGGGCCGGCCCTAGGAGCCAAATTTTAATGCATGGTGATTACTTTGATTTTCTATCGCAACCTCAGAATGCACGAAATAGGCATTTTACCAGCCCTGAGGATGTCAGATCTGAGAGTTAGCCTTAAATAAGTTGCTATTAAATTCTTCTCCCTTGTAAATATCTAAGAGACTCCTCTCCCTCTGTAAAGCTGTCCAAGGACCACTTCTATGTTTACTGGATGTGGCCAATGGCCTGCAGGATGTCTGTTAGATATCATAGTTGTTTTGAGTGCGGTCTTTGCAGCTTTACTGCTTGGTTGCAAATCCTGCCTTTGGTTGCAAATCCTGTCTCTGGTACTGCTTACTAGCTGTGTGTCCTCAGTTTTCTTCTCAGTGAAATAATAATGTCTACCTAATATGATCATGGTTAAGATTCACTGAGTTAAAACATAATGTACTTAGAACAGAACCTGGTACATAGTAAGTGCTCAGTAAATTTTGACTTAATCACAATGTTAACCAATGGAATGGAAGGAACGTTCCAGGCAGAGACATCTGTAAAGATGCAGAGGCTTTACATTTCTTGGAGTGTCTAGTTAACTGGGCCTTCAGAATACCTTGAGCTCAGAGGAAGATGGAGATGTGTAAGGAGGGCTGATGTCAGTTTAAGGAGTGCTTTGTGTACCCTTCTTAGAGGAGCCGACTTTATCCTATAAGCAGTTGGGAGTATTTAAAAACTTTTTATTTTTTTTACAGCATACTATTTTATTTTATTTATTTATTTATTTATTTTCAAAAGATGACTGATAAGGGGATCTTAATCCTTGACTTCATGTTGTCAGCACCACGCTCCCCCAAGTGAGCTAACCAGCCATCCCTATATAGGGATCCGAACCCATGGCCTTGGTGTTATCAGCACCACACTCTCCCAAGTGAGCCATGGGCTGGCCCAGCATACTATTTTATAAGGGTACTTCAAAAAGTTTGTGGAAAAATAGAAATAAAAGATAATGTGAATCTTTTCATGAACTTTTTGAAGTACCCTTGTATTTATTTCTAGTTATGAGTGCATATATAACACAGACATTAACTTCTTCCTGCCACAGAAACTGATACATCCTGGATTCTCAGTAAATCTGTTTGAGTAAATAAATAATTGCTTTAGTTTACCCAACAAAACCAAGTCCTTCACAAATCACCCAATAGATCCAGCAGGAAAAGAGTTATAGAAAAAAAGGTCTGAGGCCGGCTCGTGGCTCACTCGGTAGAGTGCGGTGCTGATAACACCAAGGCCACAGGTTCGGATCCTATATAGGGATGGCTGGTTGGCTCACTGGCTGAGCATGGTGCTGACAACACCAAGCCAAGGGTTGAGATCCTCTTACCGGTCATCTTTTAAAAAAGAAAAAAAGGTCTGTTTGCTTCTTAGACATCAGTATTATCAGCTCTGTGTTGTCTTTATTTTATTTTTTTTATTTTGGTGTCTGGCTGGTAGGGAGATCTGAACCCTTGACCTTGGTGTCATCAGCACCATGCTCTAACCAGCTGAGCTAACCGGTCAGCCCTACAGCTGTGTTGTCTATCCAGCCTTTTATTGATTGGAAACCTTCATTGACTAGTGGTTCCATATTCTGATAAGAATTAACATTCCTAATAATTACCCTGGAGCACTGAAAGGTCTGAATTGTTTTCTGAATCATCAAAGCAGGATTGAGTTATGTGTCAACATTTAACAGCTTGTAAAATTAAGGTGGGAGTGATGCCATCAGATTGTGCTTATGGGCTAGAAGGAATGGGAGATTAATTTGGAAGAGATCTTGTAATCTAGGCATGAGGTAATGGTTTGAATTGAGGAGGAGGCAAAGGAAGGGATGAATCTGTGTGGGATTTATTTATTTTTATTTTTTATTTGTTTATTTTTGAGAGGCATTTCCAAGGCATGATTGGCCAGATATTGGGGACAGGGTAGCGTAAGGCATGAGAAAATGCTTGAAGTTTCTAGCTTAGAGTTGGTTAGATGGTAGCAATATTTATAGAGATAGGGAATTGGGGGTCATGAATGATATGGATATGTTGAATTGCATTTGGGGTAGTCAGTGGAGCCTGTCCAGTAAACATTTGAAAATTTGAGTTTAGAGCTCAGGACAGAGAGTAGGATGAGAAGCACATTTGGGACTTGAAGTCAAGAATTGGATAAGACTGTCCCAGGAGAAGATGTAGTGTTTCTTTTATATATTTTGTGGCTGGCCAGTGCAGGGATCCAAACCCTTGACCTTTACGTTGTAACACCGCGCTCTAACCAACTGAGCTAATTGGGCTAACTGGGTTGCTTATATTTTGAGTAGTGTACTTCAGAGTAGTGGTGTGAACTATAATGGTGTGGGTGATAGGACATGTAAGTTTAGAATTGTGTAAAGTCATATCAGGAAAAGTGATCCATTTGACCTTTGAGGACAAATTCCACGGGAACATGGTAAAATACCTTCAGTTATTCACTACTGATTTCTAGATTGACCAAAAGTTGGATCTCTTGGCTTGGAAAACTCAGATTCACTTTTGAGTCAATACCCTGTAAATTTAAATAGTTTCTAGGCCATTGCTTCTCTAAAATGCTAGTAGCTTTATTTTTTTATGGTTGTGAGAGTGATACGAGCTCATTATATAATGAATTGGAAAAAACAACAAAATATAACTTATTCTCCTGCCCTAAGAGAGTTACCAATAACACTTTGTTGAACATTCATTGAAATACTTTTCTTTACGTACACTTGTATATGTTTTTAAATGGAATTATGCTGTCACTTGTAATCTGATTTCTGTTATTTACATTGTACATGGATATCTTTTTAAGTTAATATTGATATACGAGGGTACTTTAAAATGTTTGTGGAAAAATGGAATTAAAAGATAGTATGAATCTTTCCATGAACTTTTTGAAGACTCTGCATATAGATTGAAGCATATTTTTAATGACTGCTAGTATTCCATTGTGTGGTTCTACTAGAATGTTTTTAACTGTTATCCATTGTTGGACATTTAGGTTGTTTTATACTTTTGTGCTATTATAAACAACCCTGACATGAACATCTGGACATTTGTCTTAACATTAATAGATTAAAGGTGATCTCTTAAACGTAACTGCTTTTGTCTTGGGCAAAATTTTTGCTGTGATTTTGAATTGCTAGCTCTGTTTTCACTTTCTTTAATCTCTCTTAATTCTCTTGCCTCATTCTTCCTTCAGTGGGAGATTCTTCACGGTCAAGCTCCCAGTTGCTCTTGATCCTGGGACCAAGATTTCAGTCATTGTGGAGACAGTCTACACCCATGTGCTTCAGCCGTATCCAACCCAGATTACCCAATCAGAGAAACAGTTTGTGGTGTTTGAGGGGAACCACTATTTCTACTCTCCCTATCCAACAAAGATACAAACCATGCATGTGAAGCTTGCCTCCCGGAATGTGGAGAGCTACACCAAGCTGGGGAACCCCACACGCTCCGAGGACCTCCTAGATTACGGGCCTTTCAGAGACGTCCCTGCCTATAGTCAGGTAGGCTCAGGTGGAGTCCAGCCCATACCTGTCTGCTTCAGAGAATGTCTTTCAGAGTTGATCACTGGTTGGTAGGCTTGAATGGTGTGGGGTGGGTGGAAATCTGCAGTTATTTCTAAGATTATCCTCAAAGTTTTTAACCTGCTGTGGAGGGGCGGGGAGGCCACGTTTCTCCTTTTGGGAGCACAGATAAAGGCTGGGAGTAGCATTTGGAGAGTTGGAATGGGAGTTGGGGGAAAAAGAAGCAACACAGTCTGGATAGAGGCAATAAGAGGGACAAAGGCCTCGAGATGGGAACCTCGTTGCATGGTGGGTAGGTGCTGGGTAGCAAAACTGGCTAAGTGTCTGAGGCCCCTGAATGTTGGGCCTCGGGTTGGGACTTGTAGAGAGAGGGAGCAGTTAAGGTTAAGAAGATTTTGTTATTATGGCAAATTTCAAACATGTGCAAAAGGAGAGGCATAATGACTCCCGCACACCTATCACTTAGCTTCACTGGTTATCAAGTTACCACACTTGTTTCAGCTGTACCTTTTTTCTTTTTTTTTTCTTTTCCTTTTTGTCTTTTTCCGTGACCGGCAACGGATCGCAACCCTCAGTGTCGCGCCCATACCGGACCGGGACCGGCCACGGGATCGCAACCCTCGGTGTTGCTCCCGCCCCTCACTCAGCCAGTGAGCGGCCGGTCTGTATGTGGGATCCGAACCCTCGGTGGGAGCGCCACTGCACTTCCCAAGCGGCGCACTATAGCAGTGCACCACCAGGCTGGCCCCAGCTGTACCTTTTTTCTTTACTGGAATATATTAAAGCAAGTCAGGAATAATGTCATTTCAGTGTACCTACTTCTATATCATCTCTAAACTAAATGGATATTTAAGACATCGAAAATTTCTTTACATCTCTGTATGTATCTAGAACATATGTCAAAATACTTTGTTCTAATGACACTTGAAATAATTGTTTCTCTACTTTTTTGTCTCAAATGTGAGATTGATATTAGTTAGGGCTGTTCATTTTGAATTGTTTTCAACTTTTAAGAACTTTTTTTTTGACAGCTGGCTGGTATGAGGATCTGAACCCTTGACCTTGGTGTTGTAACACTGTGTACTAATCAACTGAGCTAACCAGCCAGCCTAGAATTTTTTAATTGACTTAATTTTTTGAATATGAAAACATGAACATGATTCCGTAGTCAAAATTATATAACAAGGTAACTGCCCATCTGTTCTCCTTGGTAACCATTTTTGGTTTATCCTTCTAGTGTTTCTTCCTTATAAATATTTGCAGGTTTGTAGGAAATGTATCAATATTCCTCCCTTTCTCAAAACGTAGCACCCTGTATATGCTGTTGCATTATGGGTTGTGTGGGGGAGTGAAAGAGGGTCTCTGTGCCTCCTGTCATAGTTGTCATGTGCCCAGAGTGCCTGGGTCCGTGCACCCTCTGTGGAGATGTTGTATTTTTTGCTTTGAGCTGTGCTTTCTGTAATTGCATTATTTATTTCTTTTCCTTATTTAAGACTGAGTGATTGAGTTCATGTTGGGACAGTGATTTGATTATCTCTATATGTAGACTTAAAGAAATTGGGGTTTTTGGGTTTTTGACTTTCCTTCTTCATTTTAAATTAATAAAAAAATAAAAATAAATTAATAAAACATTCCCAAGAGACTATCTGGCAAATACAGTGGAAGATTTCACATCAGTTCATAACCACTTTTGACCTTTTAGTACCTGAGTCATTTCTTTTTAAAGCATAGGGCTTTTTATTTTTTATTTTTTGGCGGATGGCTGGTATGGGGATCCAAACCCTTGACCTTGGTGTTACAAGGCTGTGCTCTAACCAGCTAAGCTAACTGGCTAGCCGTTTAAGCATATGTTTTTTTTAATGTAGAAGATCATATTACGTATAAAGTATTGGGTAGTAGTTTTGCTGCTTAGAATATTGTCTGAACATTTTATTATATTACTGCATTACCTTTGTAAACCATTTGTAATGGGTATCCTACTGGTTTGATGTCCTGTAGTTTATTTGACAAGCGTCTATACTTGGACAGTTAGGTCTTTTTCTGTTTAACACTATAATATACATCTTTTTGCATATAACTTTTTATGTATTCGCAGGATGGATTTTCTGAGGTAAAAATTTTTCAAGTCAAAGCATATGATCATTTTAAAATCTCTTGCTGTGTATTGCCAAATAATTTTTTAAAAGATTTAGCCAATTTATTTTATTTAATTTTTTTCGTGGCTGTCTGGTATGGGGATCTGAACCCATGACCTTGGTTGTTACTAGGCTGCATTGTACCCAACTGAGCTAATCAGCCAGCCCTTAGCCAATTTATTATGATACCAGCAGTGTGAAACTTGCCAATACTGGCATTAAATGCTATCCGATATAGTTAGGAATGAATTGAGCTTTTAGTTATAGAATGAGTGAATAAAATAGTAAGAGCTATAAGAGAAAACAAAATATATCCTTTTCATGGACTTTTGGGAAGAAGGGTGTTTTTCTGGCCCTTTTGTTCTTTTTTTTTTGGTGGCTGGCTGACATGGGGATCCGAACCTGTGACCTTAGTGTTACAAGGCTGCGCTCTAACCAGCTGAGTTAACTGGCCAGCCTTCCTTTTGTTCTTTTACATTGCATTTCTGTAGGGTTCTAGGTGTGTGTTCATAGAAGGGCACATGAATTACATGAATGACCAGAAAGAGTTTTTAATACTACCCTTAGTGGTAAAATTGGTAAAAAAATGTTGAGAAATTACTGATGGTATTGACTTTAATTCTCTTGGACCTTTTGGGAGGCAGTACATAGGATTGTGGAGTCAGAACTTCTTTTTTTTTTTTCCTTTTTTTTGTCCTTTTTCGTGACCGATAACGGGATCGCAACCCTCGGTGTCGCGCCCGCACCGCGCTCAACCAGTGAGCGGACCGGTCTCTATATGGGATCCGAACCCTCGGTGGGAGCGCCACTGGGCCGGCCCTGGAGTCAGAACTTCTATATAGTTGAAGACCTCAACACCTAGTATTATCATTAAGGTTTATGACTTGAACAAGGTAATGCTAGGCCTCAGGGGTTTTATTTATAAAATGGGGATTGGTAATACTTCATCATGTTTTTTAGAGGATGAAATGAGATAGTCCACTTATTTAGAGCTCATAGAGTACCTGACACGTACATACTCATCAGTGCCACGCATGTTAGCTAAAAAGTCTCTCTTCTATAAACTTTTCCAGGTTAGTCTTCACCAGGTTGGAAAAATCCAGTAATGCTGGTTTTCATCCTTGGTTTTAAGTTTATTTTCTAGCTCACTGATAGTGCTTATGTCTTCATTAGATCTTAAGTGTATTTCCTAGTCAGAGTTTTTTAAAAGTTTATTAAGATTTTACTTTAAAATTTTAAAAATTACTTAAGAAGCAATTTTAAAAGCTCATTGGAAAAATTTGGAAAATAAACCTATAAGAAGAAAGTAAAAATAATCTAAGATTCTGCTTCCTGCCTGTGTTGAGATTCTCATGTATTTCTTTTTTTTTTTTTTTTTGTCTTTTGTCTTTTGTCTTTTTCCGTGTCCGGCAACGGATCGCAACCCTCAGTGTTGCCCCCGGACCGGACCGGGGACCGGCAACGGGATTGCAACCCTCGGTGTCGCTCCCGCGCCTCGCTCAGCCAGTGAGTGGGAACCGGTCTGCATGTGGGATCCGAACCCTCGGGCGGGAGCGCCGCTGCGCTTCCCAAGCGGCGCACCTATCCAGTGCGCCACTGGGCCGGCCCAAGATTCTCATGTATTTCATTTCAGGTTCTTTTTTCTTTTTCTCACATGGTTACTATAAGGTAATAAGTGGAGTATAGAAGTTTTCATTTTAAAATAGAAAAGGTATTTATGTTGGAACTTAAACTATTTTATACAAAGGGACTTCAAAATGTTTGTGGAAAAATGGAATTAAAAGATAAAAATAAAAGGTACAAACTTTATTTCTCAACATAAGTGCCCTCAAGTTCAAGACACTTTTGTAAGCAATGATACTACCATTTAGTCCATTCGTAAAGAACTGAGGGTCCTGGTAATTTAACCATGTCAATGCAGTCTTTTTTACATTATTAACTGAAGACAGATGGGTGCCCTGTAAAGATTTTTTGGGGGGTGGGGGGAGCAGCTGGCCAGTGTGGGGATCCAAACCTTTGACCTTGGTGCTACAACACCATGCTCTAAAAACCCATGGCCTTGGTTTTATCAGCACCGCACTCTACCGAGTGAGCCACAGGCCGGCCTGATTTTACCATTCTTCTACCCAAGCTTCATAAGAAATTTGGTGTTTGTTCTTGCTTCAATTTTAGCCGAATTCATGTTGCTCTGATAGGAGCTCTTTTAATACTGATTTCTTATCCTTTTTAGTGCCTCAAACTAGGTCCTGTTCAGACATGTTATATCAGGTTAGTGTGAGTTCATTTTGGTGCAAAAAAATCTCCAATTCATGCATAGTTTTTTCTTTTTTTTTCCTTTTTGTCTTTTTTCGTGACCGATAACGGGATCGCAACCATCGATGTCGCGCCTGTACCGCGACCGGCAACGGGATCGCAACCCTTGGTGTCGCGCCCGCACCACGCTCGACCAGTGAGCGGACCGGTCTCTATATGGGATTCGAACCCTTGGCGGGAGCGCCGCCACACTCTCGGAGCGCCGCTGTGCTCCCAAGCGCCGCACTCTACCGAGTGCGCCACTGGGCCGGCCCCATAGTTTTTTCTTATACTCATTATCCATGAACTTTTTGAAGATCCTTTATATATCCTATTTTTCCAGTTAATAATATATCATGATCATTTATTTCCATATGACAGCAACAAGTCCTAGTAAATATCATTTTAAATATCATGTACCTTGTTGCATACCAGGGTACTTCAAAAAGTTTGTGTAGGGCTGAGCCCGTGGAGCACTCAGGAGAGTGCGGCGCTGGGAGCGCAGCAGCGCTCCCGCCGCGGGTTCGGATCCTATATAGGGATGACCAGTGTGTTCACAGCGCTCACTGGCTGAGTGCAGTGCGGCCGGTCTCAAAAAAGGACAAAAAAAAAAAAAGTTTGTGGATGGGCTGACCAGTTAGCTCAGCTTGTTAGATAGCCATATAACACCGAGGTCATGGGTTCGGATTCCCATACCAGCCAGCTGCCAAAAAAAAATAATAATAAGGAGTTGGGAGTGTGGCGCCTTGGAGTGGGGGTGAGGGGCCTGGGAGTGGGGATGTAAGAAAAAGTTTGTGGAAAAACAGAATTGAAAGATAACAGGGCTGGGGCCAGCCCAGTGGCGCACTGGAGAGTGCGCTGCTTGGGAGCGTGGCGGCGCTCCTGCTGAGGGTTCGGATCCCATGTGGAGACCGGTTCCCACTCACTGGCTGAGCGTGGTGCGGGCGCAACACCGAGGGTTGCGATCCCGTTGCCGGTCCCTGGTACGGGCGCGACACTGAGTGTTGCGATCCCGTTACCGGTCAATAAAAAAGACAAAAAGGAAAAAAAAATAAAGAAAGATAACAGGGCTGACCCCGTGGCACACTCGGGAGAGAGCAGCGCTGGGAGCGCAGCGACGCTTCTGCCGCAGGTTCGGATCCTATATAGGAATGGCCGGTGCATTCACTGGCTGAGCGCCATGCGGGCGACACCACACCAAGGGTTGCGATCCCCTTACCGGTCAGGAAAAAGACAGAAAAAAAAAGAAAGATAACAATTTTTCCATGAACTTTTTAAAGCCCCTTTGTACTGTAGATACACCATAATTTAAACCATTCAGTTGCTAATGTACAGGTGTTGCCAAAACTTTGAATTATTTGTTTCCTTCCTCTCCAGGATATTTTTAAAGTGCATTATGAGAACAACAGCCCTTTCCTTACTATCACCAGCATGACCCGAGTCATCGAGGTCTCTCACTGGGGTAATATTGCTGTGGAAGAAAACGTGGACTTGAAACACACAGGGGCTGTGCTTAAGGGGCCTTTCTCACGCTATGACTACCAGAGACAGCCAGATAGTGGAATATCCTCCATCCGTTCTTTTAAGGTATTGCGTGCTCAGCTTGGACATTATGAGAAACCATGTCTTTATCATATCTGCTCTTTCTCTTGCTTTTTGAAATTAGCTAACATAGACAGTTGTTCAGGATTGACAGTTAAGTAGTTGAGGGACAGCGTTGAAACCAACAGAATATTAAAAAAATTTCCCCCATATTTATAAGTAGGTCATGCTTTTAAAGAGAATTTGAATAGAAAAAGGAAAAACATTCTCATAGTAACACCACCCAAACACTAGTATTGCTGACATTTTGATGTATTTTTTTCCTTTTGTAATGTTGTTTTTTTTGTGTGGGTTTTTTTGGCTGGCTGGTACAGGGATTAAATCCTGAACCTTGTCAGCACCATGAGCTAACCAGCCAACCCTGTAATGCCTATTTTAAAAAACATTTAATCATATTGCACATACAGTTTTGTACTTTTTTTTTTTTTTTTGTCTTTTGTCTTTTTCCGTGTCCGGCAACGGATCGCAACCCTCAGTGTCGCCCCCGTACCGGGACCGGCAACGGGATCGCAGCCCTCGGTGTTGCTCCCGCGCCTCGCTCAGCCAGTGAGCGGGAACTGGTCTGTATGTGGGATCCGAACCCTCGGCGGGAGCGCCGCCGCGCTTCCCAAGCGGCGCACTACAGCAGTGCGCCACCGGGCCGGCCCCTACAGTTTTGTACTTTTTTATCTTATAAACAGAATCTTACATTTTCACATACTTGATATTACAGAAGAGCTCACTATGTGAATAAAGATATTATTCCCCCCCCCCCAATTATTAAAATGTATTTACAGATTTGGAAGATACAATAGAGAAGATTAGGTGAAGAAATTCCTTCCATAACCCTACCACTTAGTAATTTGTTTTAATTTCTTCTATCTTTAGTATCCTTCTTTGAGAAATAACATGCAAGATTATTTTTACCTTTAAGTCTTTAGTATTCACAAAGATATTTGCATTTCTCTTATTTACTGTTTAGAAGAATTTGGCTACTTAGCAATCTTGATTGAGAAATAGGTGTGATTTCTAGAAATGTTGAAACCCTGGTGGGAAAGTTAGACTTTTTTAGGTTGTTTACAACCTATTTTAAGTAGTAATTAAGGTTAGACTTAACCTTAATTATATGATAATCTAATGGGGACTATTTTAATTAAGTAGTATCATGTGGATGATCTTGGTGCAGAAAGTTTTCTTTATTTATGATCATTTCCTCTCAGAAGGTTCCTGGAATTCTTAGAAGGGTATGTCCACTCTCTTGCAGACCATCCTCCCTGCTGCTGCCCAGGATGTCTATTACCGGGATGAGATTGGCAATGTTTCCACCAGCCACCTCCTTATTTTGGATGACTCTGTAGAGATGGAAATCCGGCCTCGCTTCCCTCTCTTTGGCGGGTGGAAGACCCATTACATCGTTGGCTACAATCTCCCAAGCTATGAGTATCTCTATAATTTGGGTCAGTCTTCAATAGTAAGGGAGAGACTAACCTATTCTTTAATTTCTTGCAGTCTTTTTTTTTTTTTTTTTTTTTTTAATACAATTACCAGTCCTTCTAGATGAGGAGAGAGTGTTCTCTTGTCATTCTTGGGAAGGCTGGGATATCAAGAACAGCTTTTCATGGGTGGGTACAAATTACTATTGTAAAAGTACTACATGCAGGGCCGGCCCAGTGGCGCACTGGATAGTGTGCCGCTTGGGAGCGCGGAGGCGCTCCCGCCGAGGGTTCGGAT